AATTCTAATTTGTACTCTCTTAAAAAAATAAAAAATACAAAAAAATACAAATGTCTAAATGATGAACTAATCATCTACACAATGGGAGTTTTTTTGTTGTTATTTATTTATTTATTTATTTATTTATTTATTTATTTATTTTTGCAGTACTAGGGATTGAACTCAGGACTTTGCACTTGCCAGGCAAGCACTTATTCTACTGAGCTATCTCCCCAGCCCTACAATGGAGTATTACTCATCAATGAAAGTAAATTCAAGTGTCCATCTACAAAAGATAAAATGTAGGATATACATAATAATGTAATATGATTATTCAGCCTTTAAAATGAATAAAAGAAAAAAATGAATGAAAGTTGGGGAGTGGTGGTACACAACTGTAACTGCAGCACTTGGGAGGCTGAGGCAGGAGGATCACTGCAAGTCTGAGGCCATCCTAGGCAAAAAAAGTGAGCTCGAGGCCAGCCTGAGCCAGCCTAAACTACATAGTAAGACCCTGACAATAATTTTTTTTTTTTTTGTCTTTCTGAAACAGTCTCATTATGCAGTTCAGGCCGGCCTTGAGCTCACTTTATAGCCCAGGCTCCTCTCCCATTTGCAACAATCCTTCCTTCCTGAGTGCTGGGATTTCAGGGATGCACCACCTAACCCAGCTATTTTTATTTTCTTTATTTTTATTATTTATTTTTTATTTTGAGATAGGGTCTTGCTATGTATTTTAGGCAGACCTTGATACTCCCTTGAACATCCCAGGCTGGCCTTGAAGTCACAGAGATCCTTCTGTCTGAACCTCTAGAGGGCTCGGATTACAGGTATGCATCATCATGCCGACTCTTACTTGTCTTTCTTTCTTTCTTTCTTTCTTCTTTTTTTTCTCTTTCTTTCTTTCTTTCTTTCTTTCTTTCTTTCTTTCTTTCTTCTTTCTTTTTTTTTTTTCCTCTTGAGACAGGGTCTTGAACTCACTTTGTAGCCCAGGCTGGTCTCCAACTTGCAACAATCCCCCTGCCTCAGCCTCCCAAGTACTGGGATTATAAGTATGTGCCACCACTGGCTCTGTTGTTTGGCTATAGGCGCTGAACCTAAGTCCTGCCAACTCTACCAATGAGCTATGTACCTAGTCCCATGAATTAATAAAATTTCTGGCTACAATAGCAGAGATGAATTTGAAAATATTGTGACAAATGAAATCTGAAATAAGAAGACAAATAATATTTAATTGATTCCACTTAAGATAAATAGTTATTTATTTATTTATTTATTTATTTATTTAGTGTCTGTGTGTGGCCATCTCAGCCCACCAGGGGGCAGGGCTGGCTGGCATGTGGTGTTGGGGAATTGAACCGCGGTCCCTGTGCTTTGCTAAGCTTGTTCTAAGTAGGTGCTTTAGACCACTGAGCCATCTCACCAGCCCCCTCCACTTAAGATAGCTAGAAAAGTAGCTTAGCCTGGCCTTGAATGAGCAGAGATCCTCCTGCCACAGCCTCCTCAGTGCTGGAAATCACAGCTACGCACCACTATGCTTGGCTACTTTTCTCTTAAAACTTGAATCTGTTGGGTGTGGTGGTGCACGCCTATAATCCCAGCACTTGAGAGGCTGAGGCAGGAGGATCATTGTGAGTTTGGGACCAGCCTGCGCTACAAAGTGAGCTCAAGGCCAGCCTGAACTGTGTAGTGAGACCTTGTCTCAAAAAAGACAAAAACAG